AATGGGCAAAAACTGGAAGCATTCCCTTTGAAAACTGGCACAAGACAGGGATGCCCTCTCTCACCACTCCTATTCAACATGGTGTTGAAAGTTCTATCCAGGGCAATCAGGCAGGAGAAAGAAATAAAGGGTACTCAATTAGGAAAAGAGGAAGTCAAATTGTCCCTGTTTGCCAATGACATGATTGTATATTTAGAAAACCTCATCGTCTCAGCCCAAAATCTCTAAGCTGATAAGCAACTTCAGCAAAGTCTCAGGATACAAAATCAATGTGCAAAAATCACAAGCATTTCTATACACCAATAACAGACAAACAGGGAGCCAAATCATGAGTGAACTCCCATTCACAATTGCTTCAAAGAGAATAAAACACCTAGGAATCCAACTTACAAGGGATATAAAGGACCTCTTCAAGGAGAAATACAAACCACTGCTCAACGAAATAAAAGAAGACACAAACAAATGGAAGAACATTTCATGCTCATGGATAGGAAGAATCAATATTGTGAAAATGGCCATACTGCCCAAGGTTATTTATAGATTCAATGCCATCCCCATCAAGCTACCAATGAGTTTCTTCACAGAATTGGAAAAAACTACTTTAAACTTCATATGGAACCAAAAAAGAGCCCGCATTGCCAAGACAATCCTAAGCCAAAAGAACAAAGCTGGAGGCATCATGCTACCTGACTTCAAATTGTACTACAAGGCTACAGTAACCAAAACAGCATGGTACTGGTACCAAAACAGAGATATAGACCAATGCAAGAGAACAGAGCCCACAGAAATAATACCACACATCTACAGCCATCTGATCTTTGACAAACCTGAGAGAAACAAGAAATGGGGAAAGGATTCCCTATTTAATAAATGGTGCTGGGGAAACTGGCTAGCCATAAGTAGAAAGCTGAAACTGGATCCTTTCCTTACTCCTTATACGAAAATTAATTCAAGATGGATTAGAGACTTAAATGTTAGACCTAAAACCATAAAAACCCTAGAAGAAAACTAAGGCAATACCATTCAGGACATAGGCATGAGCAAGGACTTCATGTCTAAAACACCAAAAGCAATGGCAACAAAAGCCAAAATTGACAAATGGGATCTAATTGAACTAAAAAGCTTCTGCACAGCAAAAGAAACTACCATCAGAGTAAACAGGCAACCTACAGAATGGGAGAAAAATTTTACAATCTACCCATCTGACAAAGGGCTAATATCCAGAATCCACAAAGAACTTAAACAAATTTACAAGAAAAAATCAAACAACCCCATTGAAAAGTGGGCAAAGGATATGAACAGACACTTCTCAAAAGAAGACATGTATGTAGCCAATAGACACATGAAAAAATGTTCATCATCACTGGCCATCAGAGAAATGCAAATCAAAACCACAATGAGATACCATCGCACACCAGTTAGAATGGCGATCATTAAAAAGTCAGGAAACAACAGGTGCTGGAGAGGATGTGGAGAAATGGAAACACTTTTCCACTGCTGGTGGGATTGTAAACTAGTTCAACAATTGTGGAAGACAGTGTGGCGATTCCTCAAGGATCTACAACTAGAAATACCGTTTGACCCAGCCATCCTATTACTGGATATATACCCAAAGGATTATAAATCATCCTGCTATAAAGACACATGCACACGTATGTTTATTGTGGCACTATTCACAATAGCAAAGACTTGGAACCAACCCAAAAGTCCATCAGTGACAGACTAGATTAAGAAAATGTGGCACATACACACCATGGAATACTATGCAGCCATAAAAAAGGATGAGTTCATGGATGAAGCTGGAAACCATCATTCTGAGCAAACTATCACAAGGATGGAAAACCAAACACCGCATGTTCTCACTCATAGGTGGGAATTGAACAATGAGAATACTTGGACACAGGATGGGGAACATCACATAATGGGGCCCATTGTGGGGTGGGGGGACGGGGGAGGGATAGCATTAGGAGATACACCTAATATAAATGATGAGTTAATGGATGCAGCACACCAACATGGCACATGTATACATATGTAACAAACCTGCACGTTGTGTACATGTACCCTAGAACTTAAAGTATAATAATAATAATAATAATAATCAGAAGTCAAAAATAAAATAAAATAAAACTGGTTACCACTCTATATACAAATGCTTCAGAAAGTTTTGCATGAAGATAAAGCATTCCCTTGGCAAATATTTATGGAAGGCCTTGCAGGTGAACAAGACAGACACCTGGTGAGGAAGGCAGGCGATTTCAAGAGCGTGTAAGAGCCATCTTGCATTACAGGGAGGGGCACCCAGGAAAAGGACCAACTCAGCATAATTGAAGGGACACTGGAAAAGACTCCCCAGTGACAGGGGAAGACTCCCCGGTGACAGGGGAAGACTGTCCAGTGGCAGCTAAGCGAAGACCCAGGGATGAATAGAAGGCGGACAGAATGGATGACAGGGTAGAAATAAAGAAGAAGGGGTTGACACACACACACACACACACACACACACACACACACAGTTTCTTCTGATGAGTCAGTCTGATGACAGAGTAATGAGGGAAACTGCAAAGGCTCTGGCTAGAGAAAATCAGAGCTAGGACTGTTCAGGGAAAGCTTCCTCAAGATGTTGTTTCAGTAAAGAAGCAGCCAGCCATGGTGAGGCTGGTGGCGGTGGTAATGGTGGTGGGGATTCCACACACAGGTAACAGAAAGCACAAAGGCCCACTGCAGATAAGAGCAATCAAGGGAAATGTGACTTGGGAGGAAGCTGGAGAGGTGGGTAAGGCAGTGGCCTTGCAGATGGAGGGAGGAATCTGGTTTGTGTCCCAGGTGCAATGGGAAGTCTGGAGAATGGCATGGTCTGGTGTCCGCTTTACACACTGGTTGCTCTGGGAGGATGAATTTCACTGGGGCAAGAGCAGAAATGCACCCCAGTTAGGAGGCTCTATGCCAAAGCCTTCACTATGGTGGAAGATGACCTATGCAGGGGTGACAGTGCAAATGGAGGGCAAAGGGCTCCGGAGGCTAGAGGCAGAACTCACGGGGCCCTGATGGGCAGGACTTGAGGGGAAGGGAAGGCAGAGGCCGGATCATTGTCAGGTTCGAGCTTAGTCTCTAGGGGGAGCAGGGGGTGGTGACCGACTGAGACGGGCAAGTCTGGGAGGTAGACAGGGGGACATTCTGGCAGGGAAGGCAGGTGCAGATACTAGTCTGTATCTCTGGGCTGTGATGTAATTTGGTAATCTCAAAATCATGACGCTGGCTGAGATCACATACAGAGAGAGGAGACAAACACCCAGGCCTAAGATCAGAGGCACTGGATGAGGAAGACGGAGCCCAGCTTGCCCACACCTCCCCAGGCAAGCCTGCCTAGTACCACGTGCCCAGCCACGACAGGAAAGCAGCTCAGCGAGTGCTGTCAGCTGCCTCGAATGCTGCTGACAGGTCCAGGGGGTGGGAACAGAAAGGGGCTGCTGGGGGTGGCAATAAGGACTTGGCTGGGGACTTGCAAAGAACAGCTTCTGTGGGGCAATCAGGATGGGAGCCAGCCTGGAATGGACGGGAGCATGGATGGGAACAGAGGAAGAGAAGACAGCTTGTGCAGAGGCTGCTCTCCACAAGCTTGGCTGTGAAGGGAACCGGAGAAGGTGTGATTGCTGGAACAGGATGTGGCATCAGGGGAGGACATCTTTTTGAATAGTTGGGAAAATCTGCAGGGACTGCATATGCTGATGAGAACTAGGCATCAGAGAGGGAAAAAGGTGACAATGTAAATGAGCCAGATAAGAGGACAGGATCAGGAGGAGGGTAAGGTCTAGAGCACCATGGAGGGACAAACCCCTGATAGAAAGGACAGCGGGTAAGACTGGGCACACCACTGTCGATTTGGCGAGGGAAGGTGCGGAGCCCTGCCTTCTTCCGCCCTTAGCCCATCTAACTCGCATTTCGCCTTCAGATCTCAGTTCCAACATTACTTCCCATCATCGGCCCTTGGCTCAGTTACGTTACCTTTCAGCATCCTTTGTTCTCCATTAAAGCAACTGTTCCCGTTTGTAATTGACATCTGCCTGGTCTCTGTCTGCCCACAGTCTCTTCCCAAGAAGGGTACAGCCTGTGTCTCTCTTTGCCCCCACTGTGAACCCATGCCTCGTACAGAGCCTGGCCAGGTAGGCAGCACCTAATAAGCACTTCTCAGCTGCAGAGACTGATGAACAAGATGGAATCATGCCTGCTGCAACCATCAGGCAATGGTAAAGGCCTAGCTTCTACGTAAAGAACAACTTGTGTGTTGATGCTGTCCCTTGCAAGTACAGCACTTTCTCTTAAACATTTTGAAAAATCACTCAATTTCTTCAAGATGTAGATGGGAACCATGAAAGGGTCTTGACATGATGAAAGTGGATCATGAAAGAACCACCCTCAGCACTAGAGAATTGAGTCCAAGTGACTTTCCCTGAAACATAAGGCCCTCCACAGAAGGTCCTCTCTTACCTTCCTTCCTCCTTAATGACTCCACGTCACTGATACTACAGCCAGGCTTCTCCCGAGAGGAGCAGAAGTTCCAGAGGGCAGGTTCTCAGGAGCTTCTGTTCCTCTGGGCATCTCCCAGACCTGCAGAGCCCGAGACAGGACGAGACCCGCAGGATGCTGCACCTCTTTCGGAAGACTCTCCCCACCACCCTTTGGTGCAGCGGAATCCTCTTTTCTTGTACCCCAGCTCCAGACCCACCATGTCTAAGATACCTTCTCAGACTCCTTCCTGCCTCAGGAGCCCCTGAACTTCTGGGTTGCCACATCATAGGATCCTGCTCACTCAGCTTGTCACACGGGTCTCTCTGGCGGTAACGAGCTTTAACACTCCCATGGCATCTACCACCCATCTGAGCACAGGCTATCTGCTTACATTTTTTTTCTTCTGAGACAGTGTCTCTCTCTGTCACCCAGGTTGCAATGAAGTGGCACAATCATGGCTCATTGCAGCCTCAACCTGCCAGGCTCAAGTGATCCTCCCACCTCAGCCTCCTGAGCAGCTGGGACTATAGGCACACAGCACCATGCCTGACTAATTTCTGTATTTTTTGTAGAGACGGGGTTTTGCCATGTTGCCCAGGCTGGTCTTGAACTCCTGGGCTCAGACAATCTACCTGCGTTGGCCTCCCAAAGTGCTGGGATTACAGGCATGGGACACCGCACTGGGCCTATCTGCTTACAATACACGGGGAAATGGGAAAGGAAATGACTCAGCAAAGCCCCCTGCCAGACAGAGTCCTCCCAAGCGTCTCCTATCAATGTGGCATCCTCCCTCACAGCAGAAAAGTGTCTACACTTGTACCCAGACTGTCCCAACTGCAGAACCAACTTCCCATTGTGAAAACACAATGATGTGCAGGCTTACTGAGCACACGCAGGGGCACCGTTGACTTCAATGAGCCACACCTTCAGCTCCTCATCCACCATGAAGTCAAAGCCAAAGAGCTGGAAGCTCTGGTAAGGGAGGTGCTTGGTGCTAATGGCAGGCTCCACGCTCAGGAGGCAGTTCCTATGAGGCGGGAGGGGAAACGCTCATTAGAACAGGGTGGTCAAAGCAGAAGGAAGACATGAGGTGTGCTTGAAAGATGTTATATGAGATGAATACAAATACCAGTTTTGACTTCATTCTCTCTTTCCCTTTTTTTTTTTTTTGAGACGGAGTTTTGCTCTTCTTGCCCAGGCTGGAGTGCAATGGCATGATCTTGGCTCACTGCAACCTCTGCCTCCTGGGTTCAAGCGATTCTCCTGCCTCAGCCTCCCAAGCAGCTGGGATTACAGGCATGCGCCACCACACCCAGCTAATTTTGTATTTTTAGTAGAAACGGGGTTTCTCCATGTTGGTCAGGCTGGTCTCGAACTCCCAACCTCAGGTGATCCACCCGCCTCGGCCTCCCTAAGTGCTGGGATTACAGGCACGAGCCACTATGCCCGGCCTAATTTCTCTCTTTTCAACTCATTATCATTAGGTTATTCAAGAGAATGTTACTTATCAAGCATTTGTTAGAAAACTCTGCAACCACTCATGTTCTTCCAGGCAAAAGCCACTTTCCCATGTCTCAAGAAGCAGTAGAGTGCCGAGTCGCTGTGGCCTCTATAAATGAAGATTCCTCCAACAGCTGGGCTGCTGCCATGTTTGTTTATAACACATAGAACATTTCCATGTATCTTTGCCATGTAAAGAATGGACTGCCCTTTGGTGAACGCCAGGATTTGCAAAAAAAACATGTTGACCTCATGATTTCGCTAGTTCTAGTTCTAATGGCAAATTATTGCTAATTAAAAGCCTTAAGAGCTATGCAAGTTGAAACTAAATGTTGAAAAAAGAAGTATTATTAGCAACAACGAATGGAAAAATGGCACGATTTTAGTGACACAGAAAAAAGTTGAAAGTGAATCTCGGAAATATAATGAATGAACAAGTATATGAAGTCTCAGGTCAGGCCAAAATCTTGGACAAGTGATTGCTCAATGGATAATTACATAAGGAACTTGTCATAACTCCTGGCACCTAGGAAGCATTTAATAAATGTTACTGTTATGAACAATTTTTCATATTTCATTATGATAACCATATATCTATTATTTAAGAATAATAAATACCTCTTACCTACAACTATCCCAGAAAACCTATGCCATTTCTGTTTTAGAAAGATCTTCCCTGATTTTTCACCCAACTGAATGCTGGGGCAAAATATTTCTCGCAGTAAATTAAATGTGCTACAATGACTCTAGGGGTACCAAAGATAACTGTCGTCCTACACAGCTGTGTATCTGGAAGGAAAAAGATACAGGGGTCGGCCGGGCGCGGTGGCTCACGCCTGTAATCCTACCACTTTGGGAGGCCGAGGCGGGTGGATAGCCTGAGGTCACGAGTTCGAGAGCAGCCTGACAACATGACGAAGTCCCATCTCTACTAAAATTACAAAAATTAGCCAGGCATGGTGGCGGGTGCCTATAATCTCAGCTACTCGGGATGCTGAGGCAGGAGAATCAATTGAACATAGGGGGCAGAGGTTGCAGTGAGCTAAGATAGCGCCACTTCACTCCAGCCTGGGTAAAAGAGCAAAATTCCGTCTCCAAAACAAAACAAAACAAAAAAAGATACAGGGAACTGTTGTTGATGTGACTAAGACGTAGCTCTAGATGCAGGTTTTGACTCATGACTTTAATAAAGAACTGAGTCCCTTGTGAACTTGAAGCCAGGGTCAATCCTCCTCCCTCGGCCCTCCACAAACTTCAATCTCCTTTTCTTTTTTCCTAAAAAGAAAAGTATTTTAATAGATACATTTAAACCTTTAAAAACTATCTTGGTTTAAATGGTTCTTTTAAGATGACTCATTTAAAAACCAATTATAATAAAAATTTCTTCTCCCATTCATATTCAACCTGCATTGACAGGCACATATCACATTAAAAAAAAAAAAATACCTGTTCTACACAAGAATCCTTAACTTTTGCTTTAATTAAAATATTCTTGGCTGGGCGAGGTGGCTCACACCTGTAATCCTAGCGTATTGGGAGGCCGAGGCAGGTGGATCACTCTAGGTCAGGAGTTTGAGACCAGCCTGGCCAACATGGTGAAACCCTGGCTCTCTGCTTTAAAAAAAAAAAAAAAAAAAAATTAGTTGGCTATGGTGGTGCATGCCTACAATTCCAGCAACCCAGCAACTCGGGAGGCTGAGGCAGGAGACTCACTTGAACATGGGAGACGGAGGTTGCAGTGAGCCGAGATCACACCTTTGCACTCCAGCCTGGGAAACAGAGCGAAACCCTCTTTCCAAAAAAAGCAGGAGACAGGGTCTCACTCTGTCACCCAGGCTGGAGTGCAGTGGCCCAATCATGGCTCACTGCAGTCAGCCCTGACCTCCCCGAGCTCAAGCAATCCTCCCAATTCAGCCTTCCAAGTAGCTGGGACTACAGGCACACACCCCCACACCCTACTACTTTTTTTGTATCTTGTAGAGGCAGAGTTTTGCCGTGTTGCCCAGGCTGGTCTTGAACTCCTGGGCCCAAGTGATCTGCCTGCCTCAGCCTCCCAAAGTGCTGGGATTACAGGCATGAGCCACTGTACCTAGCCTGTTTTAATTAGAATATTCTTTAAAATATTATAATTAAGGAAGATTTCAAAGTTTAATAGATGCTCATGGTAAAAAAAGAAAGAGAGAGAGAGAAAATACTGAAATATAAAATGGAGGCTGGGCGCAGTGGCTCATGCCTGTAATCCCAGCACTTTGGGAGGCTGAGGCAGGCAGATTACTTGAGGTCAGGAGTTCAAAACCAGCCTGGCCAACATGGCGAAATACCGTCTCTACTAAAAACACAAAAAATTAGCATTGAGTGGTGGCACATGCCTGCAATCCCAGCTAGTCAGGAGGGCTGAGGCAGAGAGAATCACTCAAACCCGGGAGGTGGAGGTTGTAGTAAGATGAGATCGTGCCACTACACTTCAGCCTGGGTGACAGACCAAGACTCTGTCTCAAAAAAAAAAATAAGACAAAATAAAATAAATAAAATAGGCCGGGCGTGGTGGCTCAAGCCTGTAATCCAGCACTTTGGGAGGCCGAGACGGGTGGATCACCAGGTCAGGAGATCGAGACATCCTGGCTAACACGGTGAACCCCGTCTTCTACTAAAAAATACAAAAAACCAGCCAGGCGAGGTGGTGGGCGCCTGTAGACTCAGCTACTCTGGAGGCTGAGGCAGGAGGATGGCGTAAACCCGGGAGGCGGAGCTTGCAGTGAGCCGAGATCCGGCCACTGCACTCCAGCCTGGGCGACAGAGCGAGACTCCGTCTCAAAAAAAAAACAAAATAAAATAAAATAAAACAAAATAAAATAAATAAAATTGAAAGAAGTATTACATTCCAACATAAGGAAAAACTGAGAATCAGAAGCAAAACTTATTTTGTTTTTTTTTTTTTTTTGGCTGAAAGCTGAAGACTAATAATTCACTTTAAAGGATTTTTATCCATCATCAGAGACTTATACCAGTGCATCTTTTTTTGGCTGGAGTGGGAAGTTAGGGGGAGGCTAGATGGAAAGAAAGCAAACCTGAGAGCTGCTGGGAGCATTTATAGCACCACAGCAGCCACACTCTGAACAGCACTGAACAATGCGGAGAGGGGGCCGCAAACTTCCAATGAAGCTTTTGCCTAAAATAGGAGTTCTTTTCCCAGCATACTTGATTTATCTGGTGTCAGAATTCCAACCACCTATACTCCCTGAAGAAATGGGACTCCAAGCCCTGTAATTATTCTACTGGGCTCTACGTGAGAATACGGTAAGGAAAAAGTCTCAGTCATTGTGACAGGGTAGCAATGACGTGGTGGATGGTAGAACAATGGGACAGAATGGAGATCCCAGGAACAGACCCTCACATAAACGGCCATCTGACTGACTGACTGATTGATTGATTGATTTCTGAGATGGAATCTTGCTCTGTTGCGAGGCTGGAGTGCAGAATTATGATCTTGGCTCCCTGCAACCTCCACCTCCTGGGTTCAAGCAATTCTCCTACCTCAGCCTCCCAAGTAGCTGGGATTACAGGCGCACGCCACCATTCCTGGCTAATTTTTGTATTTTTAGTAGAGACAGGGTTTCACCATGTTGGCCAGGCTGGTCTTAAACTCCTGACCTTGTGATCCACCCGCCTTGGTCTCCCAAAGTGCTGGGATTATAGGTGTGAGCCACTATGCCCAGCCAGCCACCTGATTTGTAACAAAGACACAACACAATGCAGTGGGGAAAGGATAGTCTTACACACAAATGGCCCTGGGTTTATGGGATATCCTTGTGGAAAGACATGAAACTTGATATACAACTTCAGATAGATTATAAGTCTAAAATATAAGAGATAAAACCCAGATGTCTACCAACTACAGAAGGAATAAACTGAAATATTTACACAATGGAATATTATACAGTAATAAAAAGGATAAACTACTGTTACGTGAAATAATATGGATGAATGCCACAGATATGACACTGGAAAAAGTTGAACATAAAACAATAAATATGGTATTCCATTTACATAAAGTTTAAGAACAAGCAAAATGAATCTAAGGTGATAAAAGTCAGAAAAGTGGCTGTCTTTGGCAGGGAATATATATATTTTATTATTATTATTTTTTTTTTTTTTTGAGAGGGAGTCTCGCTCTATCACCCAGGGTGGAGTGCAGTGGCCCAATCTTGGCTCACTGCAAGCTCTGCCGCCCGGGTTCAAGCCATTCTCCTGCCTCAGCCTCCCAAGTAGCTGGGACTACAGGCACCCACCACCATGCCTGGCTAATTTTTGTATTTCTTAGTAGAGAGGAGCTTTCACTGTGTTAGCAAGGATGGTCTCCATCTCCTGATCTCGTGATCCACCGTCTCGGCCTCCCAAAGTGCTGGGATTACAGGCATGAGCCCCTGGGGCTGGCCTGGCAGGGAATATATATTTTGAGGGAGTTCAAAGGAGTGTTCTGGGATGCTGTAAATGTTTTATATTTTTATTTACATCACAGTTAGGTTG